CCTCCTCCCGTGTGACCAACTGCCTCTAAAAATCTGCCAGAGGAAGAGCTATGAGTTGACTTCAACTCGATGGTACACAACAACAAGATCTCCAGAGCATTAAAAAAGTTGTTGTTATGCACCGCTGAGTCATCTGTGACTCATAGCGACCCTATGTACAACAGCACTAAATCCTGCCCTATCCTGTGCCAATCTTATTGTCTCTGACACACATACTCCCATAACCCCAGTCATTGAAGCAATACATCTCATCGAGGATCTTTCCACCCTCCCAAGCATGACATCCCTCTCCAAGGGCTGGTCTATCCTTGCAACATGTCCAAAGTATGTGAGATGAAGCTTCAGAATCCTTGTCTTCAAGGAGCAGCCTGGTTTCACCCTCTCCAGGACAAACTTGTTTGTCTTTTAGCAGTTCGTGGTACATTCAATACTCTTCTCCAACACCACAGATCCAAGGCATCAATTCTCCTTGTATTATCCCTTAGTCATTGTTCAGCTACCTGATGCATAGCAAGTGACTGCAAAGACCATAGCCTGTATCAGGTGCACCTTATTCTCTAGACTGACATCATTGCTCTTCAGTACTCTGGAGAGGTCTCTAACAGCAGACTTTCCCAACGCAATATGTCTTTTAATTTCCTGGCTGCTAGAGCCAAGAGTGTTGATTGTGCAGCCAAGCAAACTAAAGCTGTTTACAATCTCAATTTATTCACCATCCATCATGATGCTGCCAATCGGCCCAGTGGTAAGAATCTTTGTTTCCTTGATATGGAACCTCAATCCATATTGAAGCTCAGTTTCAGCAAGCAGGGTTGTGCCATTTGTATAATGCAGATTGTTAACGAGTCTTCCTCTAGTCCTGATCATTTCATGAATGAAAAGAAGTTGAGACATCATGGGTATTATTCATTACATCTCACAAACTGTATGAAGCAGATGAAGGTGAAAATGATGCTGTCTTCCAGGATCATGATTGTTATTGGTATTGCTGTGGAGCTCTGGTGGCCTAGTGCTACGAAGCTGCATTGCAATCCTGAAGACATGTGGTTTAAGTCCACCAGCTACTCCTACAGAAAGGCAGAAAGATGGGTAATCTCCTCTTGTGGAATTAACTGTCACTGAAAACCCACTGAAGGGTCATCTATGGGTCAATTCTGACTAGATGGTACACAACAGCAGTCACCCTTGGAACTTCCTTCTCCTTGTCTCTCAACTGAAGGTGACCCCACACGTAACAGAACCAAACACTGCCGGTCCTGAGAGACAGATGGTTTTCATTAACTGATTTTTGGGAGTTGACTGCCAGGCCTTTCTTCTTAGTCCATCTTAGTCCGGAAGCCCCACTGAAATCTGTTTGGCATATAAACCACAAGCCTTCAACTGACAGATGGCTGTTGTTTGTGCATGAAGTACATTGGCCTGGGAATGAATTTAGGCCTCTTGCTTGGAAGGTAAGAAGTCTACTATTGAGCTATGTTCAGATGGCTGAAAATGCCTCTAGAAATTGTTTCCAGTTTGAGAAAATGTTTTTAGTTTCCAAGAACAGTAGGCATCCACTCAGTGGCAAAGTTCCTGTTGTTAATCTCTGGTGAATCCTTCAAGTGCCACTTAAATTATTCATTATCCACAAGTTTCAGCCTAGGCCAAAGCTAGAGTCAATGGAATCTATTCCTTATTCTCTTTACAAGCCCTGAGCTCCCTTATTGTTAATCCCTGCTCCTCCCAGGTTGCCTTTCTGCCACTAAAGCCCCCTCCTTCCTTAAAAGCCTCTGTGCCATTCCCTCTATGAAGCCCACCGGCTCCTATTTACAGCACTTAATCTCCCCTACTGGACTGTTAACTCATTTTGGCAGCAGAATCCTCTTTGTTAAGTCTAAAATGTCTCACATGGTGCCTTTTAGAAAGAAAAAAGATGAAAAATGAAATGATTCCCAAACTTTGCTTCCCTTAGAAAGAGTCAATTTCTTTATTTTTTTTTTAAATACTAGGAACCTGGGTTGATATACTTTCTTTTAAAGTAAATTTGGGACCAATTATTGGCTGACTTCTTCAGTGAGTGTTTAGCATTGAAGTTCTGCAAGAAGATGAAGAGGATTTCTCTTGTCTTAGACTCAGAACCTTTTAGTTGGATGAGGTTAATAATTTTAAGACAGAATAGCGGAGATAGCCCCTTATCGAACAGCATGAGAAGTATCCAGAGTTAAATATTGGTCTTTGGGTCCTCTTTCTTCTTGAAATATATCAAACAGAGCCTAACTGGAGATTTAGATGGCCACTTATTTGAGATGTAAAAGCAAATCAACATGACTTTCAGGGCTGGTCTCCTTAATGCATTCATCTGATCTCAGAATAAAGAGCTCACCTTTGTATCCTTAGAGACCAGTTGGCACCTGATAGGTAGGCTATCACTTAGAGGGAATGCTGTGAGATGCCTATCGGGGAGAAGGCTGTTCTTTCAGGCTTAGAGCCCATTTGCCAAGGAGGCAGAGACAGAAATCATAGTTATAACTGAAAGAACAAACAGGTTTACCAAAGGCTTGCATACAGCATTCCCAGTTGCACCACTACAGGTCAAAGAGAATGTTTTCCAGGTGGTTTTTAAGTTTGCACCAACAGGGAGAGAGGCCTAGTGAACCTCAAAGCACCATGTCACTCATTATGTCAATGCCACACTTAAATGGATCATCTTATATGGAAATTGTTACGGAAACTACAGTGGAATAAGAGAGTGCCAGGGTTATACATCAGAGTAACGCATACACTTTTGATTTTGATGTACCGTAATTCCGTCGTGTGTTTTAGGCATATCTATTGCTGATGTCTAAAGTTATGCGAATCGATTGCTGAAGTATAAAGCAATAAAAGGTCTCTCAGCTTTCCCACTACGCATTTTCCTTCATTAAGTCATAATTAACATTTTTATCTACTAGTCCCATGTAGAATCTTTTTACATAGAAGTCAGCAAGTTCATCTAATTGTGCTTTTATCTATGACAATGACAATCTTTATTTTATTCTTCACATTTTAATCAGTCATGTGCACTTAAACGTAATGCTGTGTTCGGGGACAGTTTTGCTGTTGTTGGTCAATACATCCAAGCATGCCTCTTTTCCTGAAGCTGCCTGGCTATGATGTTATTTGGATAAACAGGAAAAAAAAATAGCAACCAAAATAACTTCACATATCATATCTCTTAAGTTTTAAGTTAAAAACCTATTTTGAGAGGAAAAATAGAGCATGCTGGCCTGGTGGAAACCTTTCCCACCTCAAAACCATGCGCTCTTATTGGGCTGCTGAGGGTCCTGGAAGGCTGGCAAAGATGCAGTCAACAAAGCCTCCAAACCACTTAGAAGGAAAAAAAAAGGAACAAGAAAACAAACAGTCAAAACAAGGAGGAGGAGGGACTAAGAAGAAGCTAGACTAAATGTGTCAGCAAACTGACTAATTTATTTTCAAAGGTATAAATAGCTCTGCGTCTACAAACAGCCCATTTAGCCAGGAGACTGTCAGATCCCTGTGTCTGCGGGGGTGGGGTGGGGTGGGGTGGGGAGTAGTAGTGCTTGCTTGTCAATAATTTATCCTTTGACTCCCATCTACACAGGCCTATTTGTAGGTGGGACAAGAGCCTGCGGTGATCCATGTCCTTTCTTGGGGTCAGGGAGGTAGTGGCCCATTTAAAGCACAACCCCTGACAGCTTGGCGATTAGGTCACAGGACTTGTCAAACGTCCCCTTATTTCCACCCTCACTCTGCTCCTTTATCATTCACTCCGGCTGAAACCGCGGAGCAGAGGGTCCACGTTCCAGCCTGAGGCCGGCGGGCGGGGAGAATCTCTACTTTAGGTTGGACTCCCTGACACTCGGGGTGCGGAGGCGAGGAGCCCGCAGACCGGGCGGTGGCGGAGACGGAACTCCAAGCCGCGCGCCGCCGCCTCGGCCCCTGCTGGAGATTAGCCGCCCGCGGGTCCCTCCCTCTTTTCGCGGGTGAATGAATGATTAGTCAAACAGCACCCCTGGCCCAGCAGCTGAGCAGGGAAGGAGGAGTCTCGGAGCGACTGCTGTGTGTGTGTGTGTGTGTGTGTGTGTGTGTGTGTGTGTGTGTGTG